TGGTTTCGTATTTTGTCTCTCAGTGTCAAGCCACTCATCCACCTAAGGATTCTCATCTCAGCAACACTTAACTTAATTTTATGTTTCTCTTTTAAAGGCCAACATTCTGCGCCATAAAGCAGTTCAGATCTCACCACCATCTTATAAATTTTTCTTTTAAGTACAAGTGGTACTTTTTTATCACACAATAGGCATGATACATTCCTCCACTTCAACCGACTAACTTGAATTCTACTAATAACAACCCCATCTATATCACAACATTGAGAACAATAGACCCAATATACCTAAAACATTCACGCCTTTTAATGATTTGATCACCAGTAGTTCGTAGTTAAAAATTTGTCATTAGATCTACTACTACTAAGATTACATTTCATGTATTCAATTTTAGATCTATTCAAACGAAGACCTTTAGACTCTAATTTAAACCTCAATAATTCAAGTTTTTCCTCAACTATTTCTCTAGTCTTATCCACAAGAAGGATATCATCATCGAAATGCATACACCAAGGTACATCCTCCTGTAAATGTCCAGTAAAAACATCCATAACTAAAGCAAAAGGATGTGGGCTTAAAGCAGGTCCCTGATGTAATCCAACTAAAATAGGAAAATACTTTGTCAATCCTCCTTCTATTTGATCACAAGTAACAGCTCTATTATAAATATCTTTAATGATTTGAATATAAGTCATATCAACACCTTTCTTTTCTAAAAGTCTCTAAAGAACTTCTCTTGGGGTCTTATCATAATCTTTCTTAAATCAATACATATCATATTTAAATCCTCCATACTCTCTACACTTCTCCATCAAACCTTTCAATAAATGTATAGCTTCCATGGTAGACTTGCCCAACATAGATACAAACTGATTATGAGAATTTTTTGTATCACATCTTAACCTATATTCTATTACTCTCTCTAATGATTTTAATGTATCACATTTTAACTTAATTCTTCTATAATTTACACACTCTTGTGCGTCACCTTTATTCTTAAAAATGGGACCAAACTACTCTTCCTCCATTCCTCAATCATCTTATTAGTTTTAAAAATAATATTAAAGACTAATTAAGCCAAGAAACTCCCAAATCTCCTAAATATTTTCACACTTCAATTGTGATATCATAAGTTACTACTGATTTTTCACAATTGATTTTCCACAATTGGTTTTCTTTAAAGTCATATTCTTTTTTGCTAATCTGATTGAAAAATTAATTTTTTTATTATTATTAATGATATTAAGGTCACTATAATCAATCGTATTTTAAGAAACTTTATTGAAAAGTTTATCAAAATATCTCAAACACCTATGTTGAATATATTTTTCTAGAAAAAGCAATCTTTATTTTCATCTTTAATAGACTTCATTTGAATTAAATATTTAATTTTATTTTCTCTGTTTGAAGTTTATGCATATATTTTTCACCATCTTTAACATCTAATCAATTATAAATATCACTAAAAGTAGAATTCTTAACGTCATAAATTGTTCTCTTAGATTATCTATAGGTCAAAAATTGTTCTCTTAAATTCTTAACATATAAATTGTTCTCTTAGATCCTCCACGGTTCTCTAATCTTTTACATTAATAACAATTTTCATAACAAACTTCTTATATTTTATCTTTTCTTGCATTATCATTCCACTAACTATTTTTATTTATAAATTTTTTTTATTTTCCAAGTACATCTTTTGTCACTTGTTTAATGATAATTGTTACATCATCCCAGATAGAATTAATTTCTTCATGAAGATCCAAAATCTTAAAATCTTGAAGTTCACTCATAAAATTAATTATGTTTTTTAGGCATCCCAATCTAATTTTATAATACTGTTTCATTATATTTTTATTTTTCAGCTCCTCATCTTAAAATCTACAACTAATAATCAATATTGAGTACTTAAATTTTCATTTGAAATAACTTTACAGTCGTCACATTATTGATGATCTTTTTTTCTCGTAAGAAAATTATCAATTTTTGTTTTATTAAATTCATTTTTATAAGTAATTATATGCTCATCTATTTTCTTAAATAAAATATTAGCAATAACAAAATCATAAGCTAAAGAAAAATCTAATATGGTTCAACCTTCTTCATTAATAACTCCAAAACCGTAGCCACCATGAATATTTCTAAAATCTTCTACCACTCTACCGACATGTCCATTTAAATCTCCTCCAATAAAAATTCTTTCTTCATGAAGGTATCATTTGTATTAATTATTTTAAGTCATTCAAAATTTTTTCTTTTGATCCTATATCTAAACTCACTTAAGGAGCATAAACACTTATAACACTAAAAATCATAGTATCAACAATAAAATCAAATATCAATCAAATAAAAAATTGATGATAATCACCATGCCTGATTTTCTCTTCCATCTCTTGATTTGAGATTTAAATTGTTTGTATTCTGCTTGGATTCAATCTCTTGATTGAAATAGAGGTAGAATTGGATTTGGGAGAGAATTATAAAGAGAAAAAAAGTGAGTTTATAGAAGAATTGCCTCATGAATATTGATTCCTAGCAACAGAGGGGGTAGAGAGAGACAAGAAGAAGAAAGATAAAAATGGGGGAGGGGCGGTGAAATAAACCATAGAAAGATATGAAAGAGATATGAGAGAATAATAAGAGGGAATGTTGATTCAAGGATCCTCCATTCATGTACAATCAATCACACAACTTCATATATGGTTTACATGCATACCACTGAGTTTTAATGTGACTACATGCTCAACACCCAAATCTTTGAATTTAGTTAAATAATATTCTGACCTCTAAATGAAAATAAAGAACCATTAATACTAATCTAAAATGAAACACCCAATTTTATGCATATATTTTGAAGTCATTTAAAATCATATAAATAAATTCAATGCAATGTATGTAAATCCCCTATAAAAATTCTATTGAAGAGTCGTTGGATCAATAAAGTTTATAAAAGGAAAATTAGATACCACAAATTTATACTTCTCACGGAATCATATGCAAAAAAAAGAATGAACGAAACCATGCATTCTCCTTTGGCATCAATCTAAGAGCTCTAAATAATCAAATGACAGATAGCTAAAGGCTAATTTTTATGCAATTATTTATTTCCTTTTTCATTTTTAATTTTGTATATAATTAGCCATTAAAAAAAATGAACAAGCTAAGGCTTTTCATCCATTTATTCTACTATAGATTCAAACGCAGTGAGCCCTTAAAATTCTATTATTTATTTAAAATGAAGATAATTTTAAAATTAAATGCATCTAAAGCTTAAAAAAAAGATTAATATAAATACTATAATAATTAAAAATAACCTCAATATAGTCTTGCATTGAATCACAAAACCTCAACAACATGTGCCAAAGGCTTCACACTATCTCTTGATAAAGGATTTCATAAAACGAAAGAGGACTGAATACCAAATTTCATCCTCCCGCCATCCACTAATTTCCAATGAACGTATGTATATATGGGAAAGTGAACTAGCCATTTTTCAGTCTATTTCTCTGCCTCTAGTTAGATAATTCAAATTCGTAAACTGGAATCGAGAAACATGAGAATCCAGCAGGAAAAAAGAATCAAATACCAGAAAACAATAAAACAATCACACCAACTCCTGTCCTTAAACAATCCCTTGTTCTATCACACTGCAAGAAGTAGAAGACA